AGACAAATTTAGTAAAACAATAGAAAAACTAAATCATCCTAACTTTAACCAAAGCTTCAGAAATGCGGTCCTCCTCATCTGGACCAGGTTTGGTCTTCTTTAGGACTGCAGGTCCTCAAAAAACAACAGTGCTGCCAGAAATGGCCCTTGGTAACCAAACACACAGACACACACACACAGATCAAATATGATCATACCGTGGCTCGATGGCAGCTGCTGCTGCTGTGCTGAGCAGATTCCACTCTGCTGTGAGGATGTGAATTATGGAAGTTATTGATTTTCTTCAATGCCCTCCCCCAGGGTTCGGGGGCAACATAAATATTATCATATTTTACCCCATGTGGCAGATTTGGACAGGACAGAGAAGTGTTGGAATAAATAGAAACATCCTCTGAGGGAACCCAGGGCATGATGTGTTTACGGTGGTCAGGCTGATCTGAATGGATGAGCTCCTGTCTGTTCATTCTTCTGGATGAGGAAGAAACTGGCAACAGCTGTTTTGTCGTTGTCGTGTTGTTGTTCTCTTTCATATGCCCAAACTAAAGAACACCTGATTTGTGTTGCATCTTAGCTTTAAATCTGTTTTCTCTCCATTGAAGTTTGAAGTCTTCTGATCATCTTTGACTATGAAGCAGAGGAGCAGATGTAGCGATCCTTTTCTTTGAGGATGCAAACACGATAGGATTTCCTTCCACAGCTCATCGCAACTGACGACAGAGACTAGAAGTTGTTTTTAGTTTTCAACTCTTGTTAAGGTAGTTTCCCCCTGTCTTCCCAACCACTTTTCCACCAGACGGTAGGAGGAGATGGAAAAGAATGGTAGACTGGATGAGAACTGATCCATCTGACGCTCTTAAATGACATTTTGAAGCATTGAGCTTCTAAAAAAAAAAGGGACTGTTAAGTAGACGAAATGACCATGTGACCTGGATGTGTCACAGTGACATTTTTAGTTTTACTCCAGTGTCTGCCCATAAAAATATGTTGCTTTCCAAAGTCAGTCATCCCTCAAGAAATTGCTTTTGATGTGTCTTTTCTGGCCACGTTAGTTTTCTAACTGTGTTACAAAATGTGGCCTCACATTCTAATGTAAACCTTGAAAAAAGTATCCAACCATTCTTACCCAAAATGGTATATTTTTTAATTAACTAATCAGATTTTCCTGAAGGTTTTGGTCTCAGTTGTCAGTTTTGTAAATTACAACAAGGAAAACTAGACATAAAGCACCCGATAGATAGTCAAACAAACAGTGCAGTCACAGCTGAGGTCATACGAACGGGGGGGATGCATTTCATTAAAATTACAAAAATAACATGCAACATTCTACTACACAGAACATCCTGCTAAACCCCAAAATTATTATTGATTTTGATAATGAATTGAATTTTCCAATAATCAGAAAATGAATTAAGAAGAAACAACAGGGAACATGTTTCCTTGTGATTTGTATAAACTATGGCAGTAATGTAAACAGTGGTAGTTGTTAAATTAAATAAATGCAAATTGTTGCAGGAATAAAATCAGAGAAATCTGATGGCAGGGCTGCAGCTTTTGTGCATCCTCTGTATCACCATTACTCATGCGGCCACACACCCTCCTTTTCTAATCAGTGTCCGTCTCTTCTTATTTGAGCTCGGTAAATAAATCTGATCGGGCATTTCCCAGGTTTATTAGCAGACAGAGGCAGTCCAGTGACTACAGGACTGCTGACTGCGCCACATCCACACGGCACGGAAGGCCATAGATTTAATGCGTACAAGATAGATTGTCTGATGCAAGTATGTGCAGACAGCCCAACCACAACCTTTAGAGTCAACAGGACCACAGTATTTAAAGCTGCAGGTTACCTGTTGCCCTCATCAGACAAGATAAGACTGATAAAAGAGAACCACTCCACAATTTATTTCCTACTAAGTATTTCAAATTTAGAAAAAATGTGTGTTACCAACTTATCGACTTGATACTGGTGAAAAACACTTTTTTTACATGAGCTCTCTTGGTGAGAACCTCAGGATTCTGTCTTTGATCCTCAATGTATATGCAGTTTAATATAAATTGTAACAATAACGTGGACCTGGAGTTAAATAACAGCACAACAGCACTCATGTCTCAGTCCGCTCCGTATCTAGATTGAATTTACCCCATTAAAAATAACATCAAAAACATATATATATAAACAAATATATTGATAAGAAAGAGAAAGAGAATATTTTATTTTTAATTTATTTTATTGAACACTAAAAGTTTGTGAAGAACTCTGCAGCTGCTTTGGCATCAGAGCTCGCAGCTTCGGTTGGCCGTAAGACTGAATGGATGCCAGTCCTCGGTTGAGCACTCGTAACTAGATATGTCCTCGTATCACGAGGAAAATCTTGCAATAGTTGCAGACTCGAAACTGTCATGTCTTACAAAAGCTAATTTTTAATGGAACCAAACTAACTAAAACTCAATGCAAGTGTTTTGAAAATCTGGCTGGTGCATAGTTACCATTCTGCAAACTTGCTTTTGATGTTACTGCAACAAAATTGTTGAATCACTTTGCTACCTGGAGGCGCTGTGGCGTTTTATTTGTGTTCAATGACCATTTTAAGCTTTCAACTTTTTTATTTTTTATTGTATGTTGTAGTATCTATCTGTCTCTTATTCCCCGTCTTGACTTTACCGTGGACCACTTTGGACGCCTTTGGGCGTTGTAAACAAATCTGCAACACCTTTTTACTGTTGAGGGCTGCTGTCATCAATACATTACGTTGATAATGAGTTACCAGACCGTGGTGTGTAATGTGATGCAGGCACCTGCACAGAAATGAACCCACGGTGAATTATCACCTGACTCTGCAGTTTTCTCATAGCTTCATAGAGTTTTATAGCTACTCTCAGGTTATGGTTTTATTTTTACAGCCTGCCCTTTTATTGTTGTTGTCAGCATTGTTTATAGATTCTGAAGCCCCCCCCCCGACCCCCCTCCCTGCATGTTAAAACATAATCTGCACACTACATAGCCTCTGACGAGGACCAAGTCATTATTGTCAGATGTTTCTCTTTGGAAGTTGATGAAAGCAGATTAGATCTAAAAGAGTGAATATTGGATTTTACCCGTCATTGTGCTGCCTGAATTACACTTATTAATGGGTGTTAATGAGTTTTCTTGTGTCAGGTAGATAAATGTGTGTAAATAATCAGTGACTACATTGTCCACACTATTAATTTAATGAGCAGAGCAGAAAAATGAGGGTCCTTTGGTGTGTGCAGTGTATTATATACACTAGAACACTATTAAAGTTGACCTGAAACAAATATAAAGTGAGGCATCACTGACTGCTCATTTGGAACTGTCATGTGGGCAACAGTCTCAGTATGGAAGCCTAGTCACAACTGTCTGTCTGTTGCCTTAGAGTCACTGTCTTCTTCTGAGCAGACAGTGAAAAGCATAATTTAAGTGTTTGTACAGAAGCGAGTGTGTAATATCTTTTATGGCAGCACTTATTGAGCTCCAAGAGCTGCTGCCTGAGCAGCTGTTGAGCAGCAGTACAGCCTCAGGCAGTGTCAAGATATCCCTTGTCTGCACCTTATTTCCAGAGCGAGTGAAAAATACAAAGTTGACCCATAGCTTAAGGGCGGCCTGCAGTTAAAGTAATGGTGTGGGAAGTCTGGTTTGACAGTTTCCGGGAGCTACATCCTGTGTTATCCTGTGGTGTTGCTCACAGTGTGTAGTTTACCTATAGTCAGACACAAAGTACCTTTTTCTTCTTCGACTCTCTGTGTTTCTGTGCACTTGTTCTAGCTACAGGCTAACAAAGTTTTACAGGAGAGCCACAATAAATAATCTGTGCATATGCAGAACGTTTTGGTCAAGTGCAAACATAATCTCTCTCTCACACACACACACACACACACACACACACACACACTACTCTGTGCTGAGTGTGAGAATCCCAGATTTCAAATCCCCAGATCAGACAGCCCTGTGTGACAGGTCTGTTTAATATTTATACAGTATTTTGTTTGTTACTGAAGCAGAGCAAGCAGGAGGAGAGAGCAGTTTGTATCCTGTCTGTGGAGTCTGTCTCTTTCTCTGACTCTGAAATCTCAATGTGGCTCCTCATCCTCAGTCACAGATGGTGGTGTCACATCCCTGACTTCCAGGAAGAGATGAACTTAGCTGGTCGGAAATTAACTGGTAGCTGGTGATGTCGGAATTAGATTAGAGAGATGGAAACTGACAGAAAACATTTTTTCTTTTTTGTTTGTGTCAATCTGCTTTTTTTTACTGAATTTTAAGGCACGTGTTTGTTAACAACCCAGTAAGTGTTAAAATAATAAATAATCTGTCGAAAAAGCCTGTAAGCTATATGTTGTATACTCCACCACTTAAATGTTGCTACTTAAAATGGAACGTGATTCTGCTGATTCTGATTCAACATTGATGCAACCCATAAATCCATACAGAATGGGCCTTAGATGTCAGCGTGAGGAGAGATGGATGACTACGACACAGGCTCTGATTACCATCAGTCTCTACGTGATCATCACTGTGAACACAGGCTGACCAGGCATTTCTTAAAGAACTGTTTACTCAGTGAACTCAATTCTGCAATTACAAGAGGCATTGCAGATCTGTTTTCTCAGGCATTAGATTCATAGGAATCAGATGAGAATATTGGCAGGAAACCTAAATGGATGTGAAATGGAAGTTGAATTTTCCAATTTTATATAAAAAAAAAACAAAACAAAAAGATTACTGAGAGCAGGACAGCCCTTTTGAGTTCCTCTCATGAAATATTCATTCAGTCATTCTACTCATGATTAATAGTTTTAAATCATTGAATTATTTAGTCTGGGTAATCTGAATTCTAATGTGCAATAATGTGGTACATTTTCAACCATTTTGGTGTTATTTACCTGTTCTTTGTGTAATTTAATGAATTGTTGCCCTAAAAATTCCCTTAACCCCTTTTATCCTCCCTTCTCCCTCTTTTTCTTTCTACCCATTTGGCCAGGCTCACTGACCGTGTCCATCACAGACATGCGAGCTCCAGTGGTGGGAGGATCCGGTGGAGTCTACGCTCTGTGCTCAGCACATCTGGCCAATGTTGTCATGGTAACATCCACTACAATACAGACATCATCATTATCATCATCTTCGTCATAATTGCCTCCATTGTAACGTCTGAGAGCAGATCTCAGTTGGACTCGGGTGTAAATGTGGCAGAGAACATCATGCGAGTTGTTTCAGCCAACATCACTCGCGTCACTCTTCCCGTTTCTAATGGAAGCCCATTACAGTTTTTACAGTCGCAGCAAAGTCACGTCTCCGTCGTCATCAGTTTTTGGAACAATACCCCCCAATTTCTTCCCGAGACAATGTCACCTTTAATCTAGTCATCAGCGCAACCAGAAGCTTTCGCTCAAGGTTGTTGATGAGTGGCAGAACTGCGCAGCATCCCTCCGCGTCTCAGGTCTTTTGTGCATTCATAAAAAAATAATGAGTCTGAAATAAACTAACACACAGTAAAACAAATACAGACCCTGTTTCCCTCAGTGCTGCGTGCCTTTCTGCCCCATGTGAAATTCCTCTCAATCGCTCCTCAGCTCTCGAGGCAGTGTTACATCTGACAAATCACTTTAACATATGTGGCTTTTCACTGAGCAGTGGAGAAACCACCAGGGACGGAAATTATAAAGGAGACGCACTGCAAAATAAAGAGCCTGGCTGTAACTGTAGGCTGCCTCTTTCTGCTGTCTGGAAATTCAACATTGATGGACTTAGTTCTATTCTCGCTGGTTTGTTTGACTTGTTTTGTTTACTTTTTGGAGGAGCTATTGAACTAAATTCAGCTGCAGACACACATCACTGTCTGTGTTTGCACCAAACATATTCCACTAAAATACAGTTAAGGATGCAATAAAAAAAAGATTGATATCATAATTTTAAGCGAACCTGTAGGGGAGCCAACATAAAACAAAAGATGGCCGAAACAACCACCATCACTTTGCTATAATTAGTCAAATAAAGAAATGAATTGACATAAACAACTTAAATATCATACATGCTGTACAAGAGCATTTACCTGAAAAGGAGCAAAATCATAACTATTTCACAGTTTTCAAGCTGAAAAAAATAAACACACTGGAGAAAAATTGGAAAAATTAGGTTAGAGAAAAACTGTGTAACCCCCAAAAAAACAAAAACAAAAACATATTTTATATGGCAAGAAAGGCCCTGTTTTCCCACAAAAACAAAAACATATTTCATATGGCAAGAAAGGCCCTGTTTTCCCACCATTGCATTCACACACACAGACGTCAGATTCCTTTGGCATTTCACTGTCAGCAGCGTGGTAACAAGATCTGCAGCAGACAAATGAACTGTCCTCTGGTTACAGCTTGCCCTTCTCCTCCTCTGAGTTTGGAGGCACGTCAGAGCAAATTGCTTCCCATCAGAGCACAACAACATCCCATCACACACAGATCAGACCTCCTCCTCCTCGTCCTTCTCTTCCTCCTCCTCCTCCATCCACTGCTGATCGAGACTGTGCCGTTCCCTCATCTGTGCAACTGCTAATCTATTTGTAGAACTATAGTGGCAGTATTACACTCCATGCTTGTTCTAAGTACAAGCTTGGGGCAGGTTTTATTTATACATTTGTTCATACATTAATGGGTTCCTTCCACCATCTGTGAAATAATCTTAGCTCCAATTAATAGAGTTGCCACTGGGCTGCAGTCAAAATGCTGGATGAGAGTATATAATTGTTTCTTTGTCTGTGTCAGTGCAGCCTCCTCTTCCAATCCTAGTTGTTCCAATCCATGTTTTTCCAAGCAGAAAAACATAGCATAGCATGCCAAGCTGTTAATACACACACATATATTGTATGTAATGGCTGTGTCACGATTATTATGCTGATGAGTCACTTTGTGTTGCAGAACTGGGCCGGAATGCGCTGTCCTTACAAGCTGCTCCGCATGATCCTGGCCCTGGTTTGCAGTAAGTTCTTCAGACTCACCCTCAGAGACCTGCCATCCTGTTCCCGCGGTGCCTCCTAGTGATAAATGTTCAGATTTAGTCACTAGAGAAGGACACCTTCTCATAGTGCAACCAGTGTTTTCCATGCAAATGTAAAAGCCTCTTAAAGCTGAGACAGTGTAAGGAAGTTAGTGTCTCACAGTGAGAGCTTCCCTAATTGCTCATGTTTCATGCTCTCAAAGCATTTGAATCACACTACTCGTCGCTTCCTTCCACACGAGGACTGATACTCTGTGACTTTCATTAATGTGCAATATGCTCCATCCATCTGTCCTGAGCCCGCCGCCCCCGAACTGAGAGAGCAGCCAGTCTCTGAACAAATATCACTGTCTATTCTCTTCTCTCTGCGTTTTGTAATTTTTAAAATACAATATGACACATCACTTCCCCCTGAGCCAGTGTAAAATCTAAATTAACATTTGACATTTTATCATTGTTAAAACAGACTTTAGTTACTCAATAAATACAAAAAAAGTTATAATATGTTGAGTCTGCAGCTATCTGCCCTTCCTGTTGTTGCACTTCCTGGTACAGGAGTTGTTGCTAGTACTGTTTGCAGAGCCAAATTAGCCGGGTGAATATGATCAGGGGCATTTGTGTGGGTTGAGATTATGTTTTAAAAGAAGGATTTCACTAACCTTCACTTGAGGCAGAATATGAGAAAAATGAGGGCGATGAGAAAACAACAGATGACATTACATGTCTATTACATGTGAGGCAGACGTTTGTTGAACTCAGCAGTGAGGATGGAGGAAACATTTAATCTGACTCATTCCCCAGGCAATAAAATCAAGCTGGAAGCTCCTGTAAGTGAATTTCATCCAGACCCACTGGCTGCTGGCTGTAAACTGGTAAATGAAGTGATTTTATAAAGCACTTTTCTGGAGCTAACAACCACTCAAAGCACTTTACACTGTCACAGTCAACTATTTACACACACTTGAGACGGTGAGCGTCTCACACTGATTGATGTGCCTAATAACGCTGCATTGATTGCAGGTTTAACCACTAACCTCCCACTGATGTGTTAACCCAGTCTGTCTATTTTGTAAGAAAGGCAATTTTGGTTTAAGTTTCTCAAATGATGGGTCATGTCCCTAAATAGCCCATTCAAACAACACAATGAATAGTTCTGGATATACAGACACAGTCTCAGTACTTTGGTACAAGCAGATTTTAGTGCTTACTCAACACACCACAACCCATGGTTGGGATTGGAACCAGCAAACCTCTAATCACAAGACCAGCCCTTTAACCACAGGGCCACGGGCTGCTCCGTTTTTACCATTTGTATCCACAGCAGTATGCTCTCTGATTGTATTTCAAATCAAATGTGCAAACTATTCCCTGGTCCTTGATTCCAGCAACATGTCCCTGGTAAACATATGTCTTCACACTGACTTTGTCTTCCGTCTTTCTCTCCTCAATCCTCCTCAGTGAGTTCAGAAGTGGGTCGTGCAGTCTGGCTTCGCTTCTCACCCCCGCTGCCGTCCTCGGGGCCCCAGCCCAGCTTCATGGCGCATCTGTCAGGGGCCGTGGTGGGCATCAGCATGGGGCTGCTAATCCTGCGCAGCTACGAGGAGAGTCTGCAGAAACAGTGCTCCTGGTGGGTCATTGTCTTCTCCTTCATCACCTTTCTCCTCTTTGCCATCTTCTGGAACATCTTCGCCTATGAGCTTCTTGGTGTACAGATCCCACCTCCTCCCTGATACTGACCTCCTCCAACCCCCTCTTCTCTTCCTCTACACACACACATACTTCCTCTCAAGTTAGTCCCACATGAAATGATATAATGAGGTCATTCTGAGTAAAATCGACCTGAGAATCCTTTTCTACATACTTTGCAAATCAAAGAAATATGTCTCTTTTATTAAAGAGGGATTACAGTAGCAACAAACACAGGGGACACTTCCTCTGATCCACTTTGAGGAGTAATATCTTTTTATACACAAAGGAATCTCATCTTCATTACAACTGCTTTCCTTTCACTGTCCTTTCTTAAACTGTAAGATCTCACGTATGATGAGTCTGAGTTAGTGACACGTGCCTCCGTTTAAAAGAGAGGTGGAACAAAAGCAGTAAAAACTTCTGTTTTAACCACAAACAGATGTGGCTCAGAAGCAGGGATGCCCTAAAATCTAACAGAAATTCAAAGAGGCACTCAAACAGAGAAGACTGCAGAAGTGTGCTGCACGGAACGATTTCCAGCACATTTATTTGCAAGGGTATCAATAAACTAAAAAACAGAAGCACCTATTTTTCTCAGAAATCTTTCAAGTAGATCACAGAAAAATGTTGTTTGAGATCAAATAGTTTAGTCAAAAAAATCTGAACAATTTGATCCAATACAGACTGATGTTTCCTACTTTTTCAATTGTTTGCAAATACAGCCCTGCTGTTGAAAAGTAAAAGGGCAGACTGTCAGATAGAACTTTTTGCCACTTACACTCAAAAGATCAGTGATGTATTGTTCGTGTTTTACAGATTTATTGAGAAGACCAAATTTTTTCAGCCAGTTGATTTTTTTGTAAAAATCCTGGCTGCTGTCTTTACTGTACATCAGCTGTGGGACGTCACAGTTAGGCTGCTACAGAAGGTGAAGGGTTTGACAAGTGAAGCTAACAGCCCAGGTCATGGGAGCCAAGGCAGAAGCAGTTGCTTCTCATCAGGCTGAATAAAGAAGGCAGTGAAGCTGGGCCGGATTTTACCATGACGTCATCCAGCCATGCTGCCCCCAAAACAGTAATGTTGCAGCAATCAGAAGTATGCATCTGGGCTAAAACCAAGGTTAGAAGAGCCTAACGGAGACAGAGGTATGTGACTAACTGTACAGACACTAGTTTTAAACAGTTCTTTTACAATTAATATCTGGTGAAGAACTGGTCCATATTGCATTGTAATATTATTTTGAGCGTGTAAAGAGGAGAGAAATCTTCTGGCAGCCGGTCCTCATTTGTTCTGCATCAGATAAGTGTGTTAAAAATGGACGGGACAAGTAGGATAACGACGTCTGTGTTGGACAAATTTTCTCATTGTTGTTTCCACTGATAGAACTTAATGACCTACAGTGACTACAGTCAGGTCTCTCTCATAAAACAACTTACAGAGTTTTCAATATTAATTAAGATGCATATATTCCACCTGAGCAATCAAAATATATTTGCTTTGATTGCAAAAAAGATTAAGAAGCAGAGCAGGTGCAGAACATGTGGAGGAAAATAGCTTTAAATGCATTTTTTAGACAAATTGTACGTGGAGTCTTTCATTATCAGGGAGTGTAGTAACTGTTAGAGGCTGTTGTCATTCTTCACTTCATGGCATCTTTTATGACATTATATTAACACTGTGGATACAGCGACATAACTCAGATGATAAAAATGGTATTTTAATCAAAAGAACTTCTTGGATTTTTGTCACTGCAGCCGAGTGATCTTCCGTAACTTGCGAGCAGCACCTTGTAAATTATGCCATGTCATTTTCTGTGGCTTAGCGAGACAAGGACACACACAGACACATGAACATGCACGTCCTCTTTGTCTTTGAGAACAGCCACTGCCTGATTCTGTAGGTTGATGAAGACAAATTAAAGTGGACGATGCTACACACACACCTACACACGTACACACACCTACTGCCTGTTCTCGCTCTGAAAAACTGAACTGAGGAGGACACCCATGTGTCCCAGAAGGCTTTGGGGTCTCACTGTCGAACCCAGTCAATACCTCAGTTTCTCATTCTTAGGGACTGTATACTTTTGTAAAGGAATGTACGTATCAAGACAGAAAAAAAAGAGTGTTATTAATTTGTCCCCGTTCTTTTCATTTGACCGTGGATGTGTATATTGTACGTTCATAACCAAATATATTTATTTGAATTATGTTTCCTCATTGAGGAAGAAAAGATGTTGGAAATTTCAAATGGTGCAGTAAAAAAAAGAAGAATGCTATAATTGTTTTCCTGAAACTTCCTGAAAAACAGTGGACGAGGCAGCATCTCCTGGTGACCACCATCAACACAGCTCAGTTGATTTTCATCAAATAGTGTTTTACAAAATAAGCCATAGAAAGAACCGGGTTTAGAAGGAATGAAACAGGGAAAGAAGGTGATGTTGGTCTGTAACCTGCGGATCAGTAGCTCAAGCTCAGCGCTTCTCATTTTTCCACGTAGCAGATCCATCTTTGGAACTTGATCTTTGTTGATGCATCTGAATTTTTCCGTATCTTATGAGCCTCAGCTGCACTGTGCTGATGCCTACCTACAGTCAGTCCATGCTAATGACAAATAATGCCTGTCATATATTCATATCTGCCTGATCCAAACACAAGCGAGCGTAGCAATTACATTGACTCCTGCTCTGTTTTCTCATTTTTCAGTCTTTTAATTTGTCAATAATTCATATGAATGAGTGCCAGCTACCTGAGTTAAGGGTTTTCAAAGTATGCGTCTGCCAATTTGGATCATTGGCCATAAATTTGGTCCTCTGCAATTTGCCTCTGCATGAAAACGTCTGTAGTGACAGGAAGGCGATGTGCTAAATAAGAATCTGTATGAAGTAGCCAGAGGGCCATTTTCAGACACATATTTATCACTGCTGAAAACCCTTGCCTGTACAGTAAGAAATATTATTGCTTGGGATAGCAGAGATACATAGATGAATAATGCATTCATGCCCTATGGAGCTATAATGAAGTTAAAGAGAATGCCTGAGTCTCTTTAACTTCACACTCACAGGAACTCAAGGATTGTAAAAAAAAAAAAAGCTGGTTAATGGAAATGCTTTTGTAAAACACATTAACTGTGACTATTATTCCCCCTGAAAGTCATGCAGGAATAAAATCGAAGGGTTATGAATTGTAATTGCCCCTCATTCTCAAAAAAAGTATTCTCATCCAATTCCTCCACCTGTCATTCATACAAATGTCTTCATTGGTAAAGAAAGAGAAAAGTTGGGGCATCCCCAACATCCAGCTGGGGTGAGGAAGTTTCCTGAGCAGCTTATCACTCCTGTGCGAGCCAGACCTGCTGGCCTGCAGCCTGAGCAAGACATTAAAACCACACACACCTTCAAACGAAAGTCATCAGGCTGCAGCTCAGGGAAGGCAGTAATCGAGGCCTGACTTTCATCCTGGGTGGCTGACAGCTGCAGTGGTTTGGGTTTTGAAGAGAATTAAGAGGGAAAAAAGAGGAAAGTACTGCGACTCTTCATTTGAAGCCATCTCTTTGTTTTCCTTTCCCTCCACTCGTGTGTCTCAACACTTCCACTGTCAGGATGAAACAGGCAGTGTGAGGAATAACCAGAGCTTACACCCATCTGACAGATGGCATTGATGTTTACTTTAGTATGCTATATTTTCTGCAGCGTAAGGACAGCTCAGTGACTGGAACACCGATCACTTGCAAAAATTTAGCCAAGGACTAGATATGTAGCTCAAATGTTACAGTCATATATATATAAACTGTATATGCTACTGTATATATTTATATATACAGTATATTTCTACTGTATATATATATATATATATGTTTGCGTGTGTATGTGTGTGTATATTTATATACATATATGCCCATTTCTATCAGTGTGTGGTGTTTAAAGGTTAGTGCCAAGGTCAGTGTCTACATCATCCGTACCTGGGTCTTTGTTGGTGTGACCGAAACCCAGCGTTTTGTCCATTTCATTCCTCGTTGCAGTCAAAAACGCAGCATTGCTTGACATTTCTGTTGCTTCTACGTCCACATACTCCTCATTTTCTATTAAATGGTGGAGTTTTTTTGTACTAATTATGTTGTGGTTGACTGACACGTCGATGTGTGCCATATTCTCTACTGCCATAATAACTCTATGATGCTTCTGTTTCTTATGTCAGTCCATTGTGCTGTTATGCCTAATGCCTTTTTGAATAGAAGCCCAAAGTCTGAACATGGGCTGAGAGGCTGCATTGCTGTTAGCTGTATAATTACTGACACACAGTTGAACCCACAGTGTAAAACAACTGTACGGTCAGTCGATGCTCTCACATCTGGACCTAGCTGCCTTTTCCTAGTGCTAACAGGACTGAACATATCTGGAGAAATGTACAGTCCTGGTAAAAAGTCATTAAGAATTTTAAATTCCAATTTTATGTGATAATCACAATAAAGTCTTCAGGAGATTCTGAAAAACCAAGCAGAAAACAGACAAATTTAGCAATTTAACACAATTTAAAAATATGACTTATTTTGGACTTCAAATATTGGTCATTTTTTGCTTATCTTGGTGTAATACACAACATCCAGAGAAGGTAGTGTGTATAGGTCAAGGTGAAGCAAGGTTACATGTGTTTTGTTGCATTTTCTGGCCTTATATACTACTAATTGTGGTTGAAATGTTCAAAGGCTTAAAAATGGCTGAACACAAAGACAAAATATGCATTTCTAAATCCTGGGATTTGTAGGGATCCAAAAGTCTTTCTCATGGTCCAATGTGCTGAAAAGGTTTGACTTAAGACTGGAACTGAATGTTCTTGTTTCTGTGTGAATTATTACATTTTTTGTAGAAACAAGATAAAAGTCTGATTTACAGATGGAGAAGCTAGGCTGGACTATAAGATGTATGAATATTTTATTCTGTCACACAAACACACACGAGCATAGAAGAAGCCGCAGTGCAGATCAGCTTCTGTCTTGGTTTCCCCAGTTTCTTGCTTTAGTGCAGATTCACTTCATGACAAATACTGCCCGAGCCTCTTAAGGTCAGTCAAATATCACAGATGACTTCCTTCACCCGCTCTCGCCTGAAGCTGTAACGTTAAAGAGAACCCAGTTATCTCTGTGCTGTGTTTTTCATGAGCTGCTCACTTTTACTGACAAAATGGTGCCAAACTTCCGAAGGTTCAATCTCTCAGACCCGACAAGAGGTTGGACCAACACAGCGTTTACAAAATGAAAAAGCAGAAGAAGCTATTTTTTTCTCTCTTGGTCAGGAGGAAACTAATGGGAAAAAAAACTAAATTTACATAGGGATAATTTATATCAAAGTCTTCATTAATGATTTCACTATCTATGGTACTTTTTAAATGTTCTGAACTGAACCATTTTATATTGTATATATGAATATATTTTGTTTTATTTTGTACTGTTCATTGTACTTTGCTTTAATTTAGAAACAATATAAATAAAGAACGATACTGTGGCAACATCTCTGGACTTTAAGATCTGTGTTTTTGACACATCAGCATCAGCAGTAGAGGAAAAACATTGATTATTTGGTTATAGTTGTTTATTTCTTTTTTGTTATATTTTGTATTCATACCCAGCTAACATTGTTCATTGAGAAGATTTTTCTTTGATACCATAAAATCTTAAAGACAGTAACGGACAGAAAGCTTTTAAAACCTTTCTGTAAAAAGTCAGTGAAAGTCACTGACTGCTTATATAGACATGAGTTGTAGTAGCTTTGGTGTCTTTGGAAAAAACTCTGAGTCTAGAGACTTGACCTTGGTCTTAAAGTGATTTGAATTTAATAGAATAATCATTTTATTCATTCATCGGTTACAGCTTCATTTTTTAGGATCACAGCAGGAGATGGAGCAAGTACTGATGGTCATCAGAGGGCAGTTCAGCACTCCATAACAGAGACAAGTGTGGAGACTATCAATACTTCACACTAACTTTCACACCTGTCAATTTGGAGTGAACAATAACCCTAATCCTGCATATTTTTTAACTGTAGTAGGAAACTGGAGTATGTGGCAAAACCACATACAAACGTCACACTGTAAGGCAAGAGCACTAACCACTCTACTGTATGAATGAGCCTAGAGCATTGGCAGGTAAAATGATAAATGGAATTTCAAAACAATAACCACATTATTTACATAGTTCAACAAGTTATTTTATTATCTTAGAAAATGTACAAAAAACATTTCTGTTTTTACAAATATACGCAAAAAAAACCTAGTCAAATTTTCATCTTGTTTTGAGCTTTTTGGTTGGTCTCTGGTCAGTGCCTGTGTTTGATCCATCTGTCGATTCACCACACCCCTTAACACCAACCTCCTCTACAAGTGGAAGCTGCTGCTGGGTGGCTACGGTCATCGCCCACAAACACATCTCCAACCTGTGGGGAGTCCAGTCCGACTGTGGGTCCACTGAGGAGTAAAGGAGGCAGGAGAAAAAACAGCACCAACAACAGTGAATATTTATGTTCACAGCAGCTCTGTGAGATTTTTGACCATGATCAGTTGTCACAAACAGAATTTCTGCCTCTTTTCAGCACCATTCTGTGCTGTCTACTAATGGAAGACAGTGGTATGTTCAGTGGGAGGGATTCAAATAATTATACATAGAGCTTCAGCGGTCAAAGTTTATGGAACAAATTTTTATTTCCCCACCTTTGTTTAAAGCGTCTGTACGTTCAATTATCTTGTCCAGATACAGAGAGTAATGCTTGGCCGTGTACTGGATAGGTTTCAGTCCTGGAACACTCTCCATGGCTTCGTCAGACATGAACGCCGTGAGTTCTGGAGCTCCAGCTGCCAGCACAGCTGAAACGAAATAGTCAGACAGCCCCCAGCTAAACTAAACAAATAGCACAATTCAATGGAAACACCAATAAATGTACCAGTATGTGGTGTCACTTTGTACTTGACGAAGATCACAGAGACATTTCATTAGCATGTTGCACACTGCAGTGGAAGAAAAACAGAATACAGATGCAGTGCTAACCTGAGGCAGTGGCTGGCCCCACACCTTTCAAGGAGCTGAGCTCTGCAATCGCTGCCTGCACATCAGGCAGGAGGCTGAAGGCCTTTCTGGAACATTTCTCCACGGTATCCTCGCTGTTGGACGCCACCAGCTGCTGTAGCCTCGGCCTGAACTTCCCTCTCTGCGGTAAAGCACACACAGCTTCTCAAGGACACGGCTGAGTGCTGTTTGACTCAACATCACAAACACACAGGAAAGAAAAAATCCTTCTTGTGTGTTGGTTTCACTTGTGGGATTGGGTTTGATTCACAGTCTGGACGACTTACTGTGAGCTTCCACTCCATCAGTTTCACCAGCTCTGACTGAGTGACATGTTTGTCAGGTCGACTTGAAATGAGTGTGGGCAGCTCTTTTTGGTACCTGACCACACAAATGCATAAGAAACATACATGTATCTTCATTCTGATGTTAGCGGCAAGGCTAACAACTATAACAACATAGAACAGATGTCATATTTTAAGGAGAAATATTGGTTTTCTGCACTGTGCCAAAGTATTACGAAGATAATATAGTTAGATTTAATTTCACTCCACTGTAACATCAGGGTGACGTTTAAACAGCTTGAAGCGATGAGCCCTGCATCAGATGGTATCACCCCAAATAGTCCTGATCTCAGCATCAACAGCATCAGTCTGAGATTACATACAGAGAAAGAAGACACTGACACAGAAGCCCCGCACAAATTCTCCTGAGTCTGGTGTTGTTTGAGGGCAAATGAGGTGAAAATGTGAAGACATTCCAAGCATAGCCAATAGTCAACAAACTTTTGTAAAAAGTAAAATGAAAATGAAGCCAGGGAGGTAGTGAAAAGGTAACCCAAAAAAAGCCCAACGTTTGCCTTAATTGACAACTTGAATTGCAAATATGTAACTTTAAATAAAGGCTATCACAAGATAAGGACTATTAAAAAGTGGAGGTTTGATCTGCTGGAAGATCAGAACAATATTAAAAGCAATATAAAAATCCATCCAAACGCCATTATTGGTGACTCAGCATGGCTTTTGTAATACAATCAATCATTTTTAAACAATAATTACGATACTGATGGCGTCCAGCAGGGACACACTGGAGTTTCGTGTTGTGTAGTGTATCACAAAGAGATTTACCACGTTTCATGGTTCCACAGCTTTCCAGGTTTTTTGCTTTTGGACTTTGCTTCCACAACATCCCAGTATTTTTCAAACATCCTCCTCCAAGTCGCCGGTTCTTTACAGTTAAACAGGGAACTCATGACTGAGGAGAGAGACAGAAATCACTTCTAATAGTCCGAAAACTTCGCCTGAATTAAGTGTCACATCGAAGAGCTACATACACGTGAAAATGTTAATGATAATGTACTTATTCCAATCAACTGAAACCCTTTACCTTTTTTAGGAGACAAGCAAAAAAGCTTTTATTTACATGGTACAGTATCGTGATACTTCCGTTGGGCGCTTAGTTTTCCCTTCTCGCGAGATTACGCAAAATACTATTTCCGGTAAGCAAAACGCGACCAACAGTTTAACTAGGTTTGTTGACTAGAATACTTTAATACTGAGTTTAAAGTTAATATTTTGTTAAACATACTTTATTTATGATATTTACAATTCTTCTGATGCGCATTAAAAATATATGCGTTGTCGTTTGAGTCTCGTGTCACTGAAAAGTGCTCTTTGGTGAGTTAGCTCGATGGCGTTAGCAGCAATAGCATCACGTTATCCGTCATGTTTATATTTAAGCAGCTGCGCTAGGTTTTGGACACGTATCTGCAGTATAACCGTGTTTCTGAAAAGGTAAAATCCTACAGACGTCTGGCCTTCAAGTTTTGGATGGAGAAAGTAAAGAAGTCCAACTGAACAAGTAGTGGTAACGAAATCTTTGTGAAACTGGTAGACTTGGTTTGCTTTATCATCCACTATAGTTATTCGTTCTTACAAAGCAAGGTGGGGTGAATAATTCGAACCAACCTACTCTCACATTCAGTTTAGTAGAGAGGACGATTGTGGATGTTAACTTATTTCAACAGAGACCATGATGTCGTCTGGTAGAAAAGCCATGTGTCATCAGCGTAGCAATTTTATAACATTTATTTGACAGTTTCAGACAAAATATTCAATATATGTACGCAGGATTTTCCCAAAAATGTAAACGCAACAATTATCCCTTTGTGCGTGATTATTTGTTCCTTTGCTGTAACACTGGCCTCTGCAGCTGGTAAAACCTAAATTACTTTAACGAATATTTGATGCCAGAGTACGGGCGAGGAAAGGTTACATTTTTAAACTGTAAATATTCAGTGTAACGTGTTTGCTTACTTCTCTTTCTTATAATTTAGCAAGTGCCTCTCATGGGAGCACATGTGGACACCTCTGTGCTGCTGCAGATACTGAAGAGGACAGTTCCTCCACACAGAGTAAGTGCTTCAGGTTTTTATTGTTTAAAATGTGCAGGTTCTGTATGAACAACTATAATCAGTGGTGGAGTGTGTTTTGTGAAATGTGATTTTAGCTGATTTAACATGACCTCTAAAACTAAATGGCCTGTTATTCTAAAGACGAAATCAGAGTGCCCCCTGCTGTTAGATTATCATACTAACATGAGACTAACGTGTCTCCAAACAGCAGGAACTGTTGTGAGAGGTGTTACAGTTGTAGTTTCATGACTGTCTCCTGTGTCTGCAGCCTCATGGAGAAAATGTCACGGGTGACCACAGCACTGGGCAGCAATACCATCAGCGGCAGAACAATGTTCTGTCATTTGGATGCACCCGCGAACGCCATCAGTGTGTGCCGTGATGCCACCCAAGTGGTGGTCGCAGGCCGCAATATCTTCAAGATCTATGCACTGGAGGAAGAGCAGTTTGTGGAGAAGCTGAATCTCCGCGTCGGCCGTAAACCCTCGCTCAACTTCAGCTGTGCTGATGTGATGTGGCACCAAATGGAAGAGAACCTGCTTGCCACTGCTGCTACAAATGGGGCAGTTGTCACCTGGAACCTGGGGAAGCCCTCTCGTAATAAGCAGGACCAGTTGTTTACTGAGCACAAACGCACCGTCAACAAGGTGTGTTTTCACCCCACAGAGGTTTACATGCTTCTGAGTGGCTCACAGGATGGCTTCATGAAGTGCTTTGACCTACGCAAGAAGGAATCTGTCAGTACCTTCTCAGGTAGGGAAATAAAGCTGGCCATGTTGAAGTTTTCACAGAATGTTTGTGCACATAAAATAGCATTGACAGTGTCTCTTCAGAGATACTGACTTCACTGTGTTATTACTTTCCTCAGTTTGTAATAAATATTTTTTTTAACACTGTCATTTTTCACAGGTCAGTCTGAAAGTGTGAGAGATGTTCAGTTTAGCATGAAGGATTATTTTACTTTCGCTGCATCCTTTGAGAATGGTAATGTACAACTGTGGGACATCAGACGTCCTGACCGCTATGAGCGAATGTTCACCGCCCACACAGGCCCAGTGTTCTGCTGTGACTGGCATCCCGATGACAGGTGAGCAATAGCACAGATCACTGAATAATAAAAGGGATCTGTGGTTACCTTTCCATTCGATTTGATAACGATAACTGAACCGTTGAACCGATAACGATAACTGAACTGTTGTTTGTATTCCCCCTTTAAACCTGTGTGTCTGTTTCTTAAATTTTGTTTATTTGTTGTTTAGCTCTGCTTACAAGTCAAATAACAAAAACTGAATTATTTCATTTCAGTAGAAATAATACCACACACCTGAGTTTTCTTAAACTTCTTGTTTGTTGAAGGGGCTGGTTGGCTACAGGAGGCAGAGACAAGATGGTGAAGGTTTGGGACATGACTACTAACAAAGCAAAGGAGATCTATTGTGTTCAGACAATCGCCTCAGTTGCCAGGGTAAAGTGGCGGCCTGAGAGAAAGCATCACCTCGCCACCTGTTCCATGATGGTGGACCACAACATCTACGTGTGGGACGTGCGCAGGCCTTTCATCCCTTTCGCCACCTTCGAGGAACACAAAGACGTGACCACCGGGATTGTTTGGCGACACCAGCACGACCCCCATTTTCTGCTCTCAGGCTCAAAGGACAGTACTCTGTACCAGCACATGTTCAAGGATGCCACTCGTCCTGTGGACAAGGCCAATCCAGAGGGCCTTTGTTTTGGCCTGTTTGGTGACCTTGCATTTGCAGCAAAGGAAAGTCTGATTAACAGTGATGCCAACAGAAAGCCCTACCCTGGAGGAGACCGACGGTATCCAATCTTTTTCTTTAAGAAGGCCGATCCAACAGAACAGTTCACCCATGTGTCCAGTGTCCTGAACGTTTTTGGGACAGATTTGGAAAGCAACCGAATGGACTGGTTCGTGAGGACAGCACAACTCTACCTCCTCAGTGGAAAACCATTTGCTGAGCTGTGTGATCACAATGCTAAAGTGGCACGGGAGCTCAAAAGACCTCGGGTCAGCTGATCAACACATTAACAATTTCCCTCCCTGAAGTTAATGGTGTCTTTTACACAGTATGTATTTGGTACATATGAAACTGTACCATATGTGCAGTCACAATTATTTTTGCTTTTACAGGTTTCCACCACTTGGACGATGCTGCGAATCATGTTCTCTGATCCAGCAAACCTGACAGCCCCTGGTTTGAACCACAGCCACAGTAAACTGGGCAATTTACCTTTAATGAACAGGTACATGAGTTTTTACCGTAAAACATTACACAGTAGTAGTTTATATTCTGATCTTTAATGTGGTTTTTTTTTTTTTTTAAGTTTTAGTATGAAGGACATGGGTACAGGGATGGGCGCAGAGGGCAGGTTGGAGCGCAGTAAAGGTGAGCTCAGACAGGACAACATGCACTTGGAGCCTGGGAACCTGCACATCAACAATAATAATGAAGGTAGGGAAATGAACGTAAATCCAATCTTGGCACATTGATTATCCATGTGAAAATATATACACTGGATCTTTCAGAAAATGAAGAGACAGAGGGCAGCGAGGGCCAGGCAGAGTACATGTTTGGTGATGCTGAATTAGATGATGACGACCTTTACTCTATGGAACATGACAACCAAATGGGTCAGTGTTTATTTTTTGTTCCTGTCATTCCTTGTTATTAATAACAAACCCCTGTCATCAGCAGTCTTTGGTTTAAAAATATCTGCATTCTTCTTTCGAACAGAAGAGCAAGAGTACATCCTGCCCCCGGAAGCCTTTCCTTTGCGCCATGAGATCATAGATAACCCATCGGCTCCTGAGCATCTCCAGCAAGACAAGGCAGACTCGCCACACGTCAGTGGCAATGAGGCGGAGGTCATGTGTCTGACTCCCATTGAGTCCTTCTCTCTCATCTCCATTTCCCAGCCTCTGTTCAGTCCACATCTCCCAGCCAGCTTCTTCTGCCCAATCGTGCGGGAGATGCTGAGCTACTACGCCGAGCAGGGTGACGTTCAGATGGCTGTGTCCGTGCTCATTGTCTTGGGAGACAGAATTCGCAAAGAAATCGATGACCTCACCCAGGTTTTATAATATTATAATCTAATTATATAAACAAATATTTTATATTCTATGGAGTATTATTGTGCCTCTATATTTTGTAATAAAATTTAAACAAATGTATTTATGTTCACAATACCTCCAAGCTGTTCTTAGCATAGGGTTACCTATATTTACATAATGACTTTCATGTGAATTTGTCAGAAATATTCTGGGTTATTTACATTTATTAGAAAAAAATTAAAAATCCCTTAATTGTGAGGTGAAAAAAAAAATATGATGAAGAATTCTGTCACCAGAAAAAGAGAGAAACTATTTTTAAAAAGTCATGTTTACATTTCAGGAGCACTGGTATATGTCCTACATCGACCTGCTGCAGAGGTTTGAATTGTGGAACGTGTCCAACGAAGTCATCAAGCTGAGCACGTGCAGCGCCATCACCTGTCTGAACCAGACGTCAACAACACTACACATCAACTGCAGCAGCTGCAAACGGGCGATGAGCAACAAGGGCTGGATCTGCAATAAGTGAGAAAATACAGCCTAACTTACAATTTAGTCAAAAGATTGAGTCAACACTGAGAGCTCCTCTGTGCTTTAAATGTTACCTCAATTCTGCTTTGGCCTTCCGGTGTCTCTCCTCTAGGTGTCACCAGTGTGCCAGTGTGTGTGCTGTGTGCCACCACGTGGTGAAAGGACTGTTTGTGTGGTGCCAGGGCTGCAGTCACGGTGGACACCTGGAGCACATCATGAACTGGCTGAAGATCAGTGCCCACTGCCCTGCCGGCTGTGGTCACCTGTGTGAGTACACATGACATAACCGCTGGTCCTCCTCTGTGGCAGTCGGAATGGGTCCTTTACACGCTCCACAGATGCCTTCATCCCTCTGTGAGGGTTCCTCATTGTGGAGTCTTAAAGGGGGAGTGGTTGGACCTGTGCACGCTGACGTTTACGAGTAGAACACAAACACACTCGTACTTGAATCGGTTTTTCCAGTATTTTTTTTTTGGTTGGGGGGCGAGGGTCCTGTACATGAACAGATGTTACAGTTGATAAACACAGACGACATTCGTCTTGAAAAACAAAAATCACAGTTGCTGTCTTTTTATGTTTTTTTAAACCTCAATGGAATGGTGAAGGCTGTACAGAGAGAGCTGTGGACTCATCTTCAGTGTAAAAATAATGATTGTACATAACGTCTAAAATATTTTAAAGAAAAAGGACTGAAGATGATGTGGGATTATTTATATGACAAATGACTCTTTATCAAAGGACTATTAAAGCAATAACCACTGAAATTAAATCTGTGTAATTTCTGTAAAAAAAACATTTTAATGACCTGCTTTCAAATGACAAACATTCGTGAAGACAAATGTCTATTTCTTTTATTGTTTCTGAATGGCCACAAGGTGGCAGAAGAGGTAAATGCTCAGACAGGATCTTCTTGCCCCACTATCAGTGGTTCCCAAGCGTCGGTTTTTAAAAAATGCAGTCGATGGCATTCATTTTCCAGATGTTATGTGTTTGGTTTGTAGTGTCCGCGTTGGTCCATCGTACTTTAGCCTTTTCTTCATACTGCCGTCATATGGCTGTGATTAGCTTGTTAACCACACACGAAGAAATCTGGGTAATTCCCCGTGGCTGGGACTGTGGAAGTGCTGACTTGCAGCAAGTGGCCAACCGTACTCAAAATGGCCAGTAGAGGAGGGCCTTGAGTACAACTGACGGGGTCACAGTGGGACGTTCCCTTCATGTGAGGGTGGACACAGGACTGGGCCTTTGTCTCCGAATTCTTTTTGTCAACACGGTTGTAGATCCACAGCAAAACAAAAATGCCCAGGAATCCTCTGTTTGTGGTTTTTTAGGAAAAATTGGATTTTGTTTATGATAAATATACATTATTTTTCACTCATCCAATTAAACCAAAAAAATCATATTGTGTAGTCTAATCCCCAAAAATAGTTGATTAAATATATTTTAACCTGTACACATTTGTTGATTGCTTTTTCACCTTTTTAATGACTGCTTTAAGTGTAGCCTACATCACATTTTCTCTTTTTCTCATCTCCACTGAAGAAAAACGTTGTTTGTCAAAAGTGTACGGCAGTGAAATGTGAGCTGCTCTGTGCTCATGTTTACACCTTCTGGCTGTTTTGTCTGGATCAGCTGCAAAAGCTGAACATAGCCAACACCCAGATCCTGCCAAGGTTGTTAGCGAACACCAACTGTGATCACATGGGTTCACCTACCAAAGCTGGCCAAGCCCCCAGGCCACAGAGAGGGCTTGTAGACAAAGTCAATCTGTAGACTTTTCCCTCCTGACCCAACCATTGGTCAGGGAAATCCCTGACTCCCCTTCTTCCTCTACTCTGCACAGAACACAATTTGAGTCAATGTCAAACATCTGATGTGCTAATTTCCATAATTCTGTTTCAGAAGTTACAGTAAGGGAAACATTAGAGACTGCACCACATCTGTCGACATCCATCGCATATGGAGTTTTTCCAGTGTTATATGTATGTATATACCTTATAGAAAATATAGTAATTCATATTGTTGAAAAGTAAATGAGTATTTATTCAAAATACAATCGGGAATGTCCAGCATTTTTAACAAAAAAATACTGAAAACAGACATTTTTTTAATGGTTTTTATAACTGAGAACAACAGAAAAATCATGGATCTAAAATGTATCAATGTAAATATATGTCAGGGGGTTGGGCATTTTTTCCTCAGCTCTTCA